TCACAAAAGACCTTTTGAGTCCTATTCATAACGAGACAAACTTAAAATTTGTTCAGTTCATATAAAACGAATAGGTTAAATTTAGTAAAATAAAGATAATTTAAAAAGTTGTCAGCAGCAGGAGGGTATAGCTCAGTGGGAGAGCACATGCTTAGCATGCACGAGGTCCTGGGTTCAATCTCCAGTACTTCCATTAAAAAAAAGTTGTCAGGCTGTTTAGTCCAGGATTATATACTGTTGATTTTTAACCATTAGGTTGAACATTTGTCTAAAGTTTTCCGGCCATGTTTCTGCTTCACTATCAGTCTTTCCCTTCCACACTGCAAGGCTCCTTATTTCTCCAAAAGCTTCTGTGGTTAACACTCTATCATGGTATAAGACTGAAGATAAACTCAAACAGACCTGTGAGTTCTGCTACTTACGAGCTGAGCGTCTTTCAGAAAGTCTCCTGACTTCTCTGAGTAGGTATATGGGGGTGAAACTGCTAACTCACAGGGTTGTTGGGAGAATTAACTGAAAAGATGGACATTAAGAGTCTATTACAGGGCTTGGCACACAGAGGTGTTTAACAAACATTCAGCCCCCTTTCTCTCAACGTTGATGCTCCTCTCGGAGGTCCTGGGCCTCCCACGCTCACAGCACTTGGCGCTGTGTGCAGAGCTGTGTTTCAGGTCATGGGGGAGGTGGTGTGTGCTTTAGAGTCAGCTGACCTGGCACTGCCACTTATGAGCAGTGAGCCCTCAGCACATCGTTTAATCTCTCAGTCTTTGTTTCCACACCTCTAACGCAGGAAAACACTTCCAGAGTTGTGAAAATTAAATGAGACTGCCGGGCCCACTGCGAGGCTCAATAAATGGTAGAAGTATTTTTGGCTCTTTCCCTATTCCTAAGAAAATGTGGGGAACTGGGTTTCTAGCTTCTCTGGGCTTTGCTCACTCAGTGCTAACAGGGAAGGCAAACCTATGTCAACCCGGTGACAGTCCGGGGAGCAGAGTCTGGCTCTGCTGCTGGCTTCAGAAGTTTTCAGCTCAGCTACAATCACACCTCCTGGGGGCCTCAGATAGGTGGGACCTATTGCTACGGTTTCCAGGGTACAACCTGGCTTGGGAAGAGGTAATTACCAGTCTTTCTGGGACTTAGAGAGATGACAGTTTTCCTGAGATTTAATGCCTTTCAAGTTACCACCATATTAAGTATGAGCCTTAAAAAGAAACCCTCAATCATAACAGGAAAATAAAATCTTCTGATTTTTTTTATAACAAGGCGCAGGGAATTTTACTGTTTGAGAACACAATGAAAACAGAAATTTATTTTAAGATTTTCAACATTTAAAAATCTGGCAATCCTAGGTAACTAGCATGTAAGATCCCATATACTATTTTTAAATTTACCATTAAAATAATACCACTTTAAAAACGACTCAGGTGGCTTAAAAGTATTATTTGAATCTCTTTTCTTTCATTTTTCAAAAAAGAAAACTGAACCATATACTAGGATGCTCAATAAGTCTTTGCAAGCCTTATAAAATTTTTATTGATCTTCATGCTAGCTTAAAAGCTTTATTCCATTAGTGTCACATGTGAGAGTGTTGAAGACAAGAGGAAGGATGGAGAGAGGCGCCCTTGTGGTCTGGGGCTCTGTCTGTAAATCACTGCAACAAAACAGGCAGCAGACACTTAGAGCTTTCATCTAGTAAAAATCTTGCAGCTCCAAGCCTGTGCCACAAACGTGCCTCTATAATCCACATCCTCTGAGATTCACTGCATTCCTCACAATGTCTTCCCATAAAGGTCATGGGCTCTCACTGCTTTGTTTCTATTTTCAGCTGTATGGTCTGCTGGAAGAGTCTTCTCTCAATTGATCAAGACAACTGGCCCAAACAATGCTTAATTTAGTAAAAATGCTTACTCTTATAAGGCATTTATGATCACAAACTTACAGACCATGCTGAGTTTAAACTCACTGAATGATACCTGGTCTTAACATCCAAAACAGAATGTATTTCTGTCACTATTTAAAACAATATATGGCTTATGGGCTGGGCAACAGCAACACTTTAGCCTTCAACCCCCAGCTCTGTATGGGTGCTGTATGAGTTGGACTTTGTGGAATACGGCACCCAGGATACACATGTAGCTCTGGGAGAGTAAACCAGAAGACAAAGCAGAGGTTGAGCCACATGCAACTGGCATTTCTTTTGCAGTAAAAGATGGCTGATGATGTTGCAACTTCATGTGCCTCCATCTCACAGTTTCAATCTACTTGTGCATAAAAGAGTTAACATCACACATGACGTGTTATACTTAGGAAGACCTGATTTTGCTTCATGTCTTTTTGCTACAATAAATCTTAGCCGTAAGTATGACTATATGCTGAGTCTTTCTAGTGAATCACAGAACTTTGAATCACAAACAGATTATCTGAAAATTTGGCTGCAAAATACTGTTATG